GAAAGTGGGCAGAGTGGATGGTAACCATTATTTCTATAGGATATTTTTCATTTTGTGTGTTCAGTGTCATTTCTAAATACTTAGTCATCGATGCATAGACCATCATTGACATACAGGATATTATTATTCAGAATTGAAGGTAAATACGTTTACTATAAATATTTATTTTGCATGTCCTGTGTGCATATGTGGTTTTCATCAGCTTCCAGTATGCTAGAGGTTTCTGACTGGCCCCTTTTGTGAATCCCAGGCTAGGGGCTGCCTCTGTGGTAACAATTCCAGACACTGGTCTTCAGTTCTAGCCTTGGCAGGGACCTTCTCCACATGGTTGACTTTGTATGAAGGCATCATGGCTAGTATGTGTTTCTTTTGCCTTTGAGGATTGTAGGATAAATTCCTGACGGTATATAGAGCCTAGTTTATAAGACCATTTCAGTGGAGCAGTTAAGAAAGTGATGAACTTGCTGTCACCCTTGGTCATTGTTGAGTGACATGGGTATTTTTCCCATCGTCCTTGTTCTCGGGATACCTTGGGTGTCTGAAACAATTACATTGAAACACATTTGTTGGAAGCCTTGAAATGTGTGGCAATGTTAAGGTTCACATTGAGGAGTTAGGATTCTGACTGAAATGTCCTCTCACCTTATTCTCAGTTGTAAAAAATGCTCCAAGCTTTGACTCACTCTTTTATTGTCGCCTCTGACCTTTTGGCTACTCTCTATATTAGAAGATCCTAATGAAAGCATCCATTGGCTATTTCCTCTCTTTCATTTCTGACCAATACCATGGTGGCCCATGTGAAGAAAAAGAGAAAGAAGGTGGCACAAGAACATTTCATGGTAAAGTCAGGTGCAATAGAAGCAGAGATGGAATAAAGAAACCTCGTTGCTCCACGTTTAACACACATGTTTTCCATAGACGGCTGGTTTTCTTCAGTTCTTGTAATTACAATTTCAGGCAGCGTCCCTTCACTCCAGAATGGTTATCCCATTTGTGGCCTACCCATTTCCCCTGCACTTCCTTCCTCCGGCCCACCTCTTGGCCACACGAGCACTACTCCATGTCAAAATTGATACCACAGGTGGCCACAGCAGGTTTGGAAAGAAAAGGAAATGAAAACCTGTCATGGTTGCTTTGTGTTAAAATATTTGGGGAGCAGAGGCTCAAACTTTTGTTCAGAATGAGGCTTCTGAAAACAGGCATTTCAGAACTCTGCACTGTTTCTTTCATTATCATCTCTATTGTCCAAGCATTAGCTGACTAGGTATCTTCCCAAAAGAGTTCATTCAGAGTAATAAGTAGAATGGCAGTTTTGAACTTGGAAATCAAGTGTCGGTTTTTGTGTGTAATTAGCCAATATTTCTGAAATCCTGGGTTAGATACTTAATAGTGTGGTCTTCTACAAGCTTATTATCATATCAGAGAGACAGAATTCACACACACAATTCAAGAGTCAACAATTTACCAGAATTCAGTGAGTAGGAGGTGGATTATACAGAACAGTGTGTGTGTGTGTGTGTATGTGTGTGTGTGTGTGTGTGTGTGTGTGTGTGTGTGTGTTCCTGAATTAAAGGAAGGAGGAAAAACAAGTAAGTGGAAGAAGGCTTTATGGGAGAAGGTAGGTCCAGGGCTGTGTCCTAAAACTACAGGATGGAGGGAGACTGGGATTTGGATCAGTGGAGAAGAGTAGTAGAGTGTGTGTGTGTGTGTGTGTGTGTGTGTGTGTGTGTGTATGCACATATGCACACACGGAACATCAAGTGCGAGGAAGAAGTTGGGAAAGTGGAAAAAAATGTTAGCGTTCATTAAAATAGAGGCTGCCCAGGACCAGCAGATGGCATAATGGTTACATCACTGGACTCCCATGTAGTCAACCACAGTTCGAGTCCTGGACCCAGTGGATTAAAATTCACATTGGGTGTGTGCGTGTGAGCGCCCAAAATCCTGAGAGGAGAATGGATGAAAGGGGTTGTGGGTGGCCATCCCCCCTGGTGGGGGAGGTGGTTTCTCTCTTTCTTCCTCTCTCTGTCACTCTGGTGAGCACACGTGCCCTATTGCAAAAATCTCTCACTAAAGATAAATTTTAAAAATATAGACTCCCCTAGTCTCTATGAAGTTGATATCGTTCATCAGGAAAACATGAGTATACCCTTATAATGTATCCTTGAAACTACTGAAATGAATTTATAGCATTCCACAAAAGGTAGTCTCCTTTACGGAATAAATTAATTCAAAGATTCATGTCTGGGGCTTTGAAGGTAGCTTTCACTAGTTAGAATCTGATTTCAAAGTGTAAGGTTTGTAAAAAAAGGAGCTTCAGGGGCCAGCAGGTGGCAAGGTGCTTAAGGCACTGGACTCCGACATGGCTAACCCATGGTTCAAGTCCTGAACCTGGTGGCTTGCTTTTTCACTCTGTTTCTTTCTCTCTGGTGAGTGCATATGCCCTGTGGCAGACTGAAATAATAATAATAATAAATAAACTTAAATAATTTTTTTTGGAGAGGTTTTTGCTACAGGGTACATGCACTCGCCAGAAAGAGAGAGACAGAGAGACAGAAAGTGAGAAATCACCCCCCAGGGGGTTTGGTCACGCCGCAGTCCCTTCTCCTTCATTCTCCTCTTGGGATCCTGGACACGCACGCATACACGCCGGGCGTGAGTTTAAGCCACTGGGTCCAGGACTCAAACCACGGTTGACTATGTGGGAGTTCAGTGACATAGCCATTATGCTAACTGCTGGTCCCCAATAAATAATTTTTAAAAGAAAGAAGCTTCCATGGAGGTGTACTTGGAGTACAATTTGAGTCCTGGCCTACTAAGCCCCTTGAGTCTGACCACCTCCAGAGCCCTTCTCTCTCCTTCACTAACATTCAGCAGTACTAATCTTTTTGTTCTTACTTTGATATGCTAATCCCTTTCTGGCTTTATTGTCTTTGCATTTGTTGAGCCCCCTACCAGGCTACTTATCCCCAGGCTTGGGGAGACCCCCCCTTCCTCATCAGCCAAGTCTCAGCTCAGTTTTCACTTTCTCAGGGACTGGAGTCTTTTTCTAATCATCTGTCCTAAAGTAATGTATGCAGACCCCTCAGCATTCATCATCATATTACCCTGTTTAAAACACAGAGGGGCCAACAGATGACACAGTGGTACATCACTGGACTCCCACATGGCCAACCGCAGTTCCAGTCCTGGATCCAGTGGCTTGAAACCCATGCCAGGTGCATGTGTGTGCATGCCCAAGATCCCAAGAGGAGAATAGAGGAGAAGGAATTTTGGCATGGCAGTCCCCGCAGGGAGTGATTTCTCACGTTTCCCCTCTCTATCTCTTTCTCTCTCCCCTCAGAGAATGCACGCACCCAAAGGGAAAAACCTCTACCAATAAATAAATAAATAAAACACAGAAAGTGAGTGGTTGTGGTCTAATAGTTTAGGGAGCTGGATCCAACGTGGTCGTCCATGCAGTTCAAATCCTGGCTCTGGCAGCTTGAAAAAACGCCAGGGTTGTGTCCATGCATGCCCAAAATGAACAGGTTGGAGAAATGGAGGAGAAGGGATCATAGCATAACCATGCTCCATCGTGGGATGCTCTCTTTCTTTCTCTCTCTCTTTCTCTGCCTCTCTCTGACGATGACACAGGACTGCAGACAGGATAAATGAATGCTCACCTGATTCTTTGTTTTCTCTGTCTTTCCTGTCTTCTCTGTCTCAACTGTCTTGTTCACAGCCAGGTCCCAGTGTGTAGTAGGCCCTCAATGAAGTGTGTAGTAAATGGATCAGTGGCTGTGGAGCTTCCATTATGCTCAGAGCATAGAGAGCTTGGAATTGTCTTCCATTTCTAAAGCACCGGACTGTTTGTTGTGAAGTGGGAAGAAAGTGGTGAATGGCACAGACCTGGGGTGGCTGGGGTTGCAATAGCATTGCGTGGTAGTGCATCTCCTTTCCTCTGTTCCTCCATGTGTCTTAACTTGGAAAACAGCACTACTCTGAGAGCTAGTTCAAAGGGATGATGGACTCGAAGGAACAATCGTGTGGGGCGGATAGATGCTAATAAATTATGTCAGAAAAAGCTGCTGGTTTGATTAATTTCTCAGTGTTTGTTTGTTGTAGCCATGGCAGAGTGAAACTCCTACACATTTATAGCCTGCTTGTTGAAGCCCTCATGCACTTCTGTTCAGGACTCCTTTCTGGACTTCCCACTGTTCTTCCCTCCCCCTTCACATAGTACTGAATGAGTGTGTCTATCCCCATGATGATGGTGCAGTAGCCATTGTTAATTTAGTGAGAGAACCTGGTTTTGTGTTGCATTTATGGGCCTGTCACAGTAGCACAGCTCTGGCTGACTACACAGAAACTGGAAACCTCCTGAGTTTGTTCCATCCAGCAGGACTGGCTTCTAAGTGCCTAGTTATGAAACAATAAAATATATGGTCTTAAGTTACTAAATTGGGTTTTACAAATGAAATGCTACAATGACTATTTTGAGGTCATGCATCTATGACAAAGATAAAATGTTGCATCTTTTATTCTGCCCTTGAGATACACGTTATGTCTTTCCAAAGACTTTATAATACAGAACAGACCGAGCTGGGGTCAGAGATGTCTATTTCACTTGCTTTCTCTGTGCCTTTCCTTGTTATCATGTGGGGGATCTACGCATCTGCTCTACCGGCCATCTACCAAATTTCTGGTAATATTATGCATGTTTTTTTTTTTTTTCCTAGGCTTCTGCCATAGGGCATGTGTGCTCGCTAGAGTGAGACAGACAGTGAGAGGGAAAATGAGAAATCACACCCTGGGGGTGGATGGCCATGCCACAATCCCTTCTCCTCTACTCTCTCCCCAACCTCCCCCACCCCTCAGGACTCTGGGCACCCATGCACATGCACCTGGCATGATTCTCAAGCTATCGAGTCTGGGACTCAAACAGTTATTTGAATGAGTAGGTAATTCTCTCATCTCCCTTGTATTTAGTAACCTGTAATGTCTTTTTCCTTTTTCAGCACTGCAGCGATAACACACATCCCTGCCAATCAGACATGAATATTGAAGGAGCCTGGAAGAGAGGCTACACGGGAAAGAACATTGTGGTCACCATCCTGGACGATGGCATTGAGCGGACCCATCCGGACCTGATGCAGAATTATGTGAGTGTTTGCTAAGGTCGGAATGTCTTCCCTCCTCAGAAGCAGGAGAACTCTTGTCAGGATTATCAGAAAGGATTGGAAAGCTACTGAAAAATGCAGCAACAGATACAATAGGCTTTGTGTTTTGTTCTTGTAAAAGATGAGCTCTTAGAGGACAGGAAGTACGAGATAAGGCTTTCAGCTTTCCAGTGCCTTTGATGTTCTGACCTACAGAAAGAAGCAAAAGGTAGCAGAAATCACACCACCAGTACCATATGCTCTCAACAACACTCACTCTTCTCAACAGTTCTTTCAACCAGCCAGGCAACACTTTCTTTTATGGAAAAAAATGTGCTTGCAACTTTTCTCAAGTTTCTCTGTCTCTACCTCTCTCTGCCTTTTTATTTTTTATTATTTTTTTTTTTAGGTTTTCCCATAGGGCACATGTGATTGTCAGAGAGAGACAGTAAGAGAAGGAAGGCAAGAACTCATCCCCCAGGCAGATGGTCACTCTGCGGTCCCTTCTCTTCCATTCTCCTCTTGGGAGTGTGAGTTTTAAGTCCCCAGGTCTGGGCCTTGAACTGCCGTCCACTACGTGAATGTCCAGTGACATAGCCATTAGACACCTGCTTGTCCCTTTGCCTCTTTGTTGTTAAAGGACAATAATAATCAGCCTCCCAGTAGACCGTAGGAATTAGTCAGTTCTTTTTTTTTTTTTTTGGAGAGGTTTTTCGCTATAGGGCGCATGCACTCGCCAGACAGAGAGAGAGAGACAGAGAGACAGAAAGAGAGAAATCACCCCCCAGGAGGGGTGGGCACACTGCAATCCCTTCTCCTCCATTCTCCTCTCGGGATCTTGGGCACGCACACACACGCGCCCAGCGTGAGTTTCAAGCCACCAGGTCCGGGACGCAAACCACGGTCGACTTCATGGGAGTCCAGCGCCATAGCCATTACACTAACTGCTGGTTCCCTGTCAATTCTCTTTCTTAAGTGGGAACCGCAAATTCATTTAGTTCTCTTGAATGAAACAGTTGAGTGACTGTTCTCACTTGCTTGCAAACACATGTAGGTAAACTTCTGTCTCTTCACAGTGTAGGATTTTAGACCAAAACAGAAACTTTGGTTTAGTGAGACTCCTCATTTGATAAGTAGAATGAACTATTCAGGATCAGGTAGAAGAGCAAAATCACGAGTGCCTGTCCCCCAGCAGAGATAACTTTTTTGTCACATGCAAGAGGTTGTTTTTCTGTGTGCTGCAGATCCCCACTACATATTAATGTATCTGATTAAATACGGATAGCTTTCACCTAATTGTGATTGCAATTTTCATTTTTACCACCTAGTAAGAAAATTTTCCAGAATTATCTATGCAGTTGGCAGTACTGGAGCCCTTTCAGTTCTTATGTTGGAGATATGAGGCGTAGAGAAAGTGAATTGGGTGAGATCACATAAGACCTGGGTTCTCTGGGACCAGCAGATGGCATAATGGCTACATCGCATATGGCTAGTCGACCACAGTTCGAATCCCGGACCCAGTGGCTTAAACTCACACTGGGTGCATGCCCAAGATCCCGAGAGCAGAATGGAGAAGAAGGGATCGCGGTGTGGCCTTTCCCCCGGGGGGTGATTTCTCGCTTTCTGTCTCTCTGTCTCTGTCTTTTTGGCAAGCGCATGCGCCCTATAGCAAAGACTTCCCCTAACCCCCAAAAAAGACCTGGGTTCTAGTATGATTTATTTCATGTAAAAATGGGCTAGAAATTCACCTGTTTTTTGTCCCCTATTTCCTTAGAAATAAAGTTGATAAGTTACATTAGATAAATTTTGAAATCTTTCATACTCTGATGATCACTAAGAGGGGCCATAGATCCAATCCTCCTTAGCACAAGAACCAGGAACTTACTGCCTTTCTATTAAATGCATATTTTGCTTAATCCCCCCAAACAGTTCAAGCTCTGTGTATTAAAAATTATTTTCAAAAAGAAGTCTTTGATAAAGACAGAAAACAAAGATAGTGTTTATTTTCACTAACAGTGAAATTAGAAATAATTATGAAGCATAAGAAAATTTAAAACATTTAAAATCAGGCTGTCTATAATGATGTAAATTTCAATGATGGTAATAGCGCAATAAATTCTTTGTAGTGACTAGGATATTTTTCACAAGCATATTTAAAAGCAAACAGCAAATCCAACTTTGGTTTTGCAGTTACTGTTTTCTCATTTTGAAACCTTAGCATAGGAGAACCTTGTTCATCACTTTGGTTGGTCTAAAAGACTCTGGATATTAGTAAAATGTCTGAATTGTAGACTCTTTATTAGTAGATACAATTATTTGGAACCAGGCAAGTGTTGTCTAATAGAAGTCCCAAGATACCTGATATAGGAAATACCTAATCATTTTTACTGGGCTCACCAGTGACAAAGACAAGGGTGAATCTAGGAAAAATAAATCACTTTGTTTCTAGGTGGTCAAGGAGGTGGTAATTGAGAACATCTGTGAAAAAACACACATTTCATGAACTGGTCATTCTAGGTACGAGGAGAAAAATACTGGCAGGAATGAACCAGGCATTTGGCTAGTCTGCCTGATCATCAAATAGCTTTTCATCATTTCTTTTTCAGATTTGTGTTGAGTTATTCTTCACCTCTGGGGGGAAAATATACATTGATTATTATTGAATGAGCAGGCCCTGCCTATGGCATCCTGACACCACAGAACCATGAGCATACTAGTTAACCTAATTACTCTCTTGCAAAAATGTGTTTAAGAATGCATGAGCCTGTGGGTCAATGGCTAATTAATGACTGTCCATCTCCTTTCTCTCACTGTCTTCTCTGTTAACCACAGGATGCTCTGGCGAGTTGCGATGTGAATGGGAATGACTTGGACCCCATGCCTCGTTATGATGCAAGCAACGAGAACAAGTAAGGCCCAAGCAAGGGGTGGCTGCCCCTTGGCAGGCAAGGAACTTTGTTTTCTGCTCAGACTGAAGGAAGTATTTTCTTCCACATCTGTGGTAACAGATGATCTCTGATTTGCTCTAGGATAAACAAGTGTCTTTTTGCTGAAGCTAAGCAAAAGGAATGGTTCACATAGTAAGAATGGTTTCAGAGAGAGCCCTGTGGAATGGCTGAGAATTTCCAGATCTTGAGGATGGAAGTAGAGAATATGCCCCTCACGTAGTAACTGGCCTATGGCCCGTTTATTTAGAGACAGAGATGCTGAAGGGACAGGCAAGGGCCAAAGGGTATTGTGGTAAAATGCAACGTTCTGCGAGACAATCCCACGTGGAAGGGTTCCCACTTCAAATCCAGAGGCCTCCCTGAGAGTGCTGGCAATGGACTTGCCGGTGATCCAGAGCTGGCTGAGGGCTGGCAGGTCTGTGCTGGGGTCAGGACTTTGTTGGTGGTGATGTTTGTCTGTCTGACTGTCTCTTTCTCTCACTTATGGATGAAATAAATAAACTAAAAAAAAAAAAAATCCATAAAATTGAAAAAAAAAAAAAAAAAAAAAAAGAGGGGGGAAGCTAAGACAACCCC